ACTGTCAAAAACAAGACGTAACATTGACAACAGGGGGAGGGACAGTTATGAAAAAAAGCAATTGAAATTATTTAAGACTTTAGGCAATTCATTCCATGGTCCAAGGTCTTTTGGCAAGAATTGTGTGTAAACAATTTCTAGTAAGAGAAAAAGTATAAATCAAAATTTATCATTTAGAATTTCGCTGTTTGTTCCTTGGGGGTTTTTGGTCATGTCTTTGCACATCAAGTATACAAGAGTTGCCTCCGACATTGAATGTCACGTATGTGCGCAATTCAATGCTCATGGCTAACAATATGAGCCTGAGAAAATACTTAAGTAGTTAAACTTTCTATCAGTGAATATGAAACGTGTCAGATTCGGCATACGACGGAAACGAGTCCAAGTTTCTGACCCGAAACAAATCGAACATTTCGCAATTTGTTATATTTGTAAGCCCTCCCAAGAGATGGTCCTGCTGTAAAAAATCGTAAACAAGAAAGACTTTTTCCTTCTAATTAAACACGATTAATATAATATTAAGTCAGCTGAAGTCAGTGTTTTCCCTAAAAGGAAATAAGATTCAGACACTCAAGGTCTTTGTCATGAGACGTTATGGCGTTCCATATCATTACTGAAGCGTTTCCATGTGAACCTTTCCTCTTTGTGACATGATGATGAAACAGGAATAAAATTTCTGATGAGTAAGTCGATTTTCCGTTAGGCGACTTTTATGTGGAAATACATCAATATTTCGAAAAGGGAAATAAATTCTGATGAGTAATAGCATGTAATAGTGACCTTGATGTAGAAATACACTTCCTTAATGGATAAATTTGACGCAAATCTGCTGTTAAAACTTACCTATTTAACTGAAAAATCTATGATCTCTGACTAACTCTCTCTAAATTTTAACGTTTTTATTGTAACTTTTACCTTTGAGTACTTAGAGAAAGCTATATAAGCGCTATATAAGTTTAAGATATTATTATTTATAATTACTATTATTAGAATTTGGAACATAATTCCGGTAATGTCTTTTTTTATCTTACGCAATTTTGAATAATTCAACACTAGAGGGTCGTATGCAACGGTGATTTTCATCGCAATTGTGAAATACCGAGTCCAATAGCAACGAACGAACACGAGGAATAGATTCTTTCATACAATGACAGAATGATGTCCTGTCCTCTCTAAGAAGACTATATACTCTAGTTGATAAACTAACAGAATTTAAAACAATGACTATCTCTTAATAGCTTGGCAATACTGCCAAATAAAAATCTAGAGAGATCAGTTCTTCATAGAAAAAGAACTGAAGAAGAAGTTGTTTGTCATTACTTGTGGATAAAGAAAACAAAAAACGAAGGACCTTAAGAATATAATATGGTCTTTCATACACCGAAAAACTACTGGATTTATTAATAATTAGACTAGTTAATAATGTACTTTAATAATCGAATATTTTCATATGTCAACATTCATCGACATTATTCATTATTTATACGTTTATAATTTCAGTAACAAAAAGTGATAACCACACGATCACATTATCAATACGTATTTTTATAGTTCAGTTATATAAAAAGGAAGAAGAGTTTAATAGAAAATACCTTGTAAAAATCTGAGTTAGTTGAATAAGCTCAATCAAGAATCAAGATCCCGAGAATTTATCTATTAGCATAACTATCATAACACACGAATGAAAACAGGATGGAAGTTAAGAAACTCGATATCATCACAAGACCTGCCTACGCAGTGGTGGTAAACCATCCTAACAAGGTCTACAAGTACCATTATCAAACCATCCACAACAAACGTAAGATGACAATTATAGTGCAAACACTAGAATAAAATGGATTTCTTCCGGCAGCCAGAAGTCCTTTTATATCCGTGGGTTTACACATCTTCCGCCTGTCAAAATTCCACAAAACTTGGGCGTTTTGTCGTCTAAACAGCCCAAGGTCAGTTCTGAGTAGCGTCTGTGTAATAATAAAGATGACAAACTAGAAGTTTGAAGAAGAGGGTTGTGTTGATAGCTCTTTTTATTGAAAACAATAAAAAGGAATAACAAATGGAGGAAAACTCGTTGATATTTTGAAGAAACATGTTAGTAAGGTTTTTTTCTCTTACTTTAAGATGAAAAACGTTTCAGTGGTAAAATTATTACGTTGGACTAATGTTTAGGGACACTTTTAGAGACAGTTTTCCTCTAGAAGAGGGTTTGATATTTCTTAAATATAAAACGGCGCGCGTTACCCTGCGAGCAGAGTGTATTTCCTTACCTCAATAAAAATTCGTTATTTTCCTTCGCGAATTTTTATTGAGGTAAGGAAATACACTCTGCTCGCAGGGTAGGCGCGCGTGTCTCTGTCCTCTGATATAAACACGGTGGGAGTTCGAAAAACACAAGAGAARCAAGCTTAGGAACACGAGCGTAGCGAGTGTTTCTCTTGCTTCTCGAGTGTTTTTCAACTCCCACCGTGTTTATATCAGATGACAGAGACACAAACGGCCGTTTGATATTTCTTTTATAAAATTTTTGGAGCGAAAAGAAAATTTTGCCGGTAAGCAGTGTCTCTGTCCTCTGATATAAACACGGTCGTCAGCCAATCAGAGCGCGCGTTATATATCAAAAATTTTATAAAAAATACTAAAAGGTCGACTGCAGAAACCTCTGTTAATTTGCTAGCAGGGACAAAGATCATAGACTTTTCATAGAGTCGATTTTTAAACATAATAAGTTTGATATTTTTAAGCTTACAAATAGAAATATGTAAACTTATGAAAAATAATTACACACCGCTTCGCTTTGATTTCAAATAATTACGATCTTAAACACTGGATTCTTAGATGTTTTTACGACGGCTTTTCTAAACTACTCGTTAAGTATCACTTAATAAACTGTATATATTAGCCAATCAAATTGTATGATTTCTATAGACGCTAGACGCTGAATAAAATGACGGTGGCGGCCACCTCTGTGCTATCAAGGGTGGGCGGCTGTATTACTTTACACACAACAATTAATTATTTACGAAAAAAGGAAGCTAAATAATGTCGGTGTAAATAAATGAGTATTCTATCTTAATACTACGAAATGTAATCGCAATAAAAGTAATTAAACAGCGCCAGAAATACATACAGTACCGCCTCACTAAATAACAGCACTCAAGCTGTACTTTTCTCATAAAATTCAAGAGGGTTTTTAAAGCACTTCTCGAACAAAAATATTCGGCTTTCAAGGGTTACATCTTTGTTCCTTTTCTCTATATTTATATTGTTATAGGAAAGTTAAAAATAAGTTCAGGTCTAAATCAGAATGAGAGAGTATTCCAGGAGTTGATTTTTACATTTTCGCAAGGGATATTCGAAAACAAAACGCGTTTTCAGTTCCATTACATTTCAAGGATTTCAAGGAGCTATGTAATAATATCCAGACATGGACTAAAACTTACTAAGAATAAATAAATAGATAATAGATGAATAATAACAAATACAAAAAACGAAAGAGATTTGACTTTTTGTTAATAATATCATTAGGTAATCACTATCTTCTGGGGTTCAAAGAATTAAAAAAAAAACTAAAAGGAAAAATAATAATTGAGACGTACGTAGATTTACTACGGAGCAACGGATTCGCGAGACAATATCGACGCAAAAAAACACAGCTCTACGTAAATACTAAACTTATATTTTGTTTAAAAGACTTGGAAATGGAAGTCGTAGGAAAATCAATGCGTTGCATTACGCGAACAACTAAAACGTGCAGACCCGTGGATGTATAGACGTAAGAGAAACCTCTACACAATTCTACGGACGTATATACGTAATATCAGCTATAATCTACTAAAATGCTGTGACACGTCACGTAGACCTAATAAAAAGAAACGTGCATTTGATCTACCTAGTAAAGTCAACGCCTCTGCATTCAGCTGATGTAGCGGTAGCCGAGAAAAATCGTCTCCGTAATTATACGTGCGTTTACGCAATATCGGATATAAAAATATATATAAACAGACTGTGTCAACGTTAAATCACGTCTACAGCGAACAGTCGAAAGATCTCTATGATCTAAAAGTCCAACGCCTTCGCATTTGGATGCTGTAGCGGTAACCAACAAAAAATTACGTACGTTTACGTAATACCTGCTGTAATCTAAAGAAACGGCTGTGACACGAACACGGGTTAGATTCTAGAAACGTAATTGCGGGTTTGTGTGCTTTGTGATACAAGCACGTTTGGACGTTGTTAAAGGAAACGCAAGACCGCCACCCACGGCTGAAGCCAAACTGGCTTCCCTCTACAAACATGGTCGGAAGATAAATGATCTTAATGACCTACATATCGTATAAAAACGACCACATATAGTGAAAGATTCGTGAAAATAATTATCAAGGGAATATAAAGGTAGATTATAACGTATATGTACTAAACAAAACTTCAATGAGATCATTATACGAGCCGGCTCTTGCGTATCCGGGATGGGGAGGGAGAGGGCAGGGCTAAGATCACATGAGCTTTCGAGGTTGCGTGTTCTGATAAGGGTGAAGGAAATACGCTCAGAAAAGCTTGATTTTCAAGTGAATGTTGTGGTTCATTCAGTCCGTGTTTTTACAATAAACAATGATAAATCATCGCAAATTTGTTATTCCGTCGCTGAGAACCAGCGTCACGCTTCTGCGTCTATTGTTAAGACGATCCGTCGGTGAGCTTTTGAAGTGCACTGACTGTTCATTAGGACCTCCCATTTCCGCATCTCAGAAGTCCGGAGTAATTGTCAGCAGCACGCACTCAAATCATTCAAAGTGCTGATGTGTTGGAAATAAAATGTGAAGGAAACGACTAAGTTTTTTGGCGCGCGATTTTTTTTTACCTTTTACAAGTAAGCTCGCTTTGTAACTTTTGATTCATATTAAGAACGTTCTCGATTCAATGTTTCCACGTGTATTGTAAACAAAAAACATAGATTCATAATAAATACCGTTTTGTGAATATATATGGTCAAAATAGAGGCTGAATTAGATTGTATTAAGAATTTTAATTCTCCAAGATTTGTGTAATCCCTTTATAAGATTGTTACATTATGCAAAAAAAAGTAACTTAAACATTATAAGTATCTTTTTTAATAAAATAAATGATTCATATTTTGTTATTTATACACGTTATAGTATTCTGACATTCGTATAAATATATATAGCTGATTATTAATCCCTTGTATAAATTACATCTTTGTATAACTTAAACATTTCTTATATAAAAAAATATGTATGTACAGGTAAATTCCTATAGCGTTATCGCATTCAAAATCCAAGGTTTAATACTAAAAGCTCTTCAAATATTTAATCAATATTTACTATAAAGGGTTAGTGCATCTTGTTTTTCTAAAGAGGCGTCGTGAAAATGTATTCCTCATTTGAACCATAGATCAATCAATGGTCTATGTCAATACAATTCCGAATTTTTGTCAGCTGACTTTATAAATACAAGAGTAATTGAGTGTGATACAATTTCAACATTACATAAAAAAACATGTCTACGGTCAAACCACTAGAGCTAAAATTCACTTAATAAACTATATCTATATTATAATATATATTATATACTAACCCTTTATATTCCGTAATTAGTACCTTATTAAAATTGCCAATAAAGTAACTATTATTACTTTATGATTTTATAAAAATTACCATTAGAAATCACTCTGCACTGACTTATAAAGTCAAAGTTCTCTTATCTTTCGCAGTGGATTTAGTTTTTCTTTTCTGTGCTTTTTTCTTTTTACATGATATACAACTAGCTGCTTTTCGACATCCCGCGACTGGTAAATAACACAGTAAACATGGGAGAAATATCGAGAGAACAGCCAGGCAACCCCACCGAGGTAGACACGATCGTAAAGGTCCGCTACAGGAGCAAGGGTCATCAGCGATTCTCCCCTCGTCCTCAGAGTCTTTCGTACAATGATAAAAGAACCCTTTGACACAGCACATACAAGTCGCGTAATCCACAACTTCTTCTGTATCATGACCACATAAATAAGTTCTCGACTTTTCATTCAATAGTTCTGTAAAATTTCCATCTGTACCTTTCAACAAGTCTTTCTCTGATTTGATATCATCTACACAAAGTTTAGTTGTCACGGATGAGTCAGTGTTTTGCGAATTCAATTTTACCATCCATGCTTTGGGATCGTGATATTCGTTTTGGACTCTCTTTTTTGAAGGAGTTAGTCTATTAACAGTTTCTCTGGTCTCGACGACCGGCTGTTTTGTCCTACGTGGTGGAATAAACGGAGCTGGTCCCTTAGCGAGCGGTGAAAGTTCACAATATTCATCCTCCATTTCTATTGCACTTTTACTAGAAGTAGATTTACGTCCAGATTCATGAGTCCTTGTTTTCGAACTTTTCTTTGCGCATTCCGCAATTCGTATATGCTTAGTCTGTGGTATATTATGTTTACGCAGTTGTTTGTACACTTTAGGGTCTATTATTTTAAAACTCGCTCCTCGTCCAATAACAAATGGGTAATACTCTTCTATATCGCTGTCATCCACAGTAGACGGAAAATCAGTACAGTCAGTTTCTCTGGGAAGAGTCTTAACTTGAAATGAATTGTAGTAGTTTGACGTAGTTGGTGGCAAACCTTTTAGACGTTCACTTTTCATTTTTATAACACCATGGGTAGATACCCTGTATAGCCTCCACTTTGAAGAAAAAAAGTTATTCCTTTGACTTTCACTGAATAAGATTGCGTGCTCGTAATGAAACTTGAAGGACGAATCAACGGACTCACGCGTTTAGCTTTACTACTTATATAGGATTCGGTTTTCCTTAGCTTGCGTGGAACTTCCGATCAGCGGACTTGCGAAATTGCTTTTCTTTATCTTGTGTGCCAATCGCTGTGCGTTTTTAAAGTCGTCGAACCACAAGTTTTCCCGCGAATTTCCTTTGAGTTTCAAACTAATGTTGATGAGTAAACCCGATAGCGTAATCAACGTAATGTGATGTGAGCGGTTAACCATGAGACGGTAGCTACCAGTAATGAGCCAATGAAGGGGTTTGATGCCAGTCTGTGTCCACACAATTGCGCTGTACTGCTTGAATGTCCCGATCCACGATATGACGGAATGTTTACACTGCTTCAAAGACTTTTCAAGCGCTCATGAATATACTTAAAGTGAATTATGCCTTCAATAAATTGATCAAAGTCGGTACGTGAACGGTTTTAACAACTTCGATCATTCGATGTCTCTGTTCCTTTCTTTTGTTGTGTTGTTTGGGTAAAATTATTAGGCTCAACTGATTATTCGCTATTGTAATTCAACCTCGGTCTCTTCTTGTGATAAAACTAAACACACCGGAAGTAGCGGTATGCCCATCTCTGCAAGTTCCGGTACAAATGACAACTGACGTCAGTCAAAATCACTCGTCGCTCGCCACAGTCTTTGGAAAAGACACCTTTTGGTGATCCAAGTCGTTCTAGAAGACTTGATCGTGTTGTGGATTTCGAAGGTTCCTCAGCGAAACAAAAGAACTGTGAAGTCAGTCATTATAAAGCCTCTTAAGTATACGTTCATTATTTCAATTTTCTGCTTCGGATAGATTAAGATGCAAATCACTACAAATACAAGACAAAGCACTCCAACACACTCCGGATGTTCCCACCCAGTTACAGGTGACAGATGACAGAAGGTCATTATGTGTGATTGGTCGATTGGTTAATAAACCTAAGCGTCATTCTAATGCCCTCTTGGGATTTGTCATTATACTTTTTCATCGACATCGATTTTAAGCCACCGGATTCCTTAAAAAACTCCACGATAGTCAAAAGTCAAATGTTATATTTTGGCCTTGCTGTATTCTTAAAAAAGCGTGGGTTGGGGTAAAAGAGTTTGACATGAGTGGGAGTACCACTTAGAGGGTTTAGAAACTGAAGCACAACAATGCTCTCTGAATAGGTTAATTATTAAATAAAGTCTAAATCATATAAGATATCGTTTACATGCTGTCTTCTGCTTATAGCACTTGCGGTTTCGATAAAACACTCACACAGATTAATATCGATGGTCTGGCGAAGAGCGCTGAGTTCAAGCAATGAAAAATGGCTTTGTTAATGGCTTATAACGAAATTCTAATAACAACGATACATTTGGAAGAACATGGAACATATTACTAAGTCATTATCTGAGATGAAGGAACCTTGTACCGGCTTAGCTCTGGCAGTTATTTCCTGATTTACTCAAATTCCGAGTGAAAGACTTCACTGAGGTCGAGCCACCAGTACTCATCAGTGGCGATCACTAAACTTTGACTGAAAACATAAAGATAATCAAGTTCCAAGTCACCAGAAATACTTCCTTTTTGTGTAAAAACGTTTTACGTTTGCCGCGCGTACCAATATTGACTTATATTACACCCAGAATCACTATAACAATAATTAGACGTTGGTAATTTTCGACACTTAACACTTTCTATTCTATTGTTTGTGCTTTTAGGAATTACATCAGAGTGTCGATGAATATTCCTTTCACAAAGATGTGTGCTGAAAAGGGCTGCCGACTAGCAGAAAAGAGGATTAGAAGGCGGTTATCGTTCACGGGAGGCTGTGGATATCCAAGCGATTAATATCCGGTATATTCTTTCTTGTTTATCCCGTGTAAGGCTCAAAAATAAAGGAAAAAATAGTCGAATTAGATACAATTTCTTGTGTAATCCATGAGTCGAATACATGAAAGAAAAGAACTTATAATATACTTTAAAACATGCATTCAAAGATACCCTGGTTCCAGAAGTTTTCTCTTCTTTAAAAGTTGTTTTTTATATTTCGTATTTTTGTCTTTGCTTTCGATTTTAACGACGTAAGATATTTCTAAAATATAATGCTAATTCATCGGTTTAGACTTCCCTGATAAAAAAAGCCGGTTATTGAAAATCTCAAAGATACAAAGCATTATCGAAATGGGACACGTTTTTCTTTCATTCCTTTTTTCCTATCTTTCCTCTTTGTTGACTAGTCGATGTTTGTATGTGGGATGGGATGGGGGATGGAAGAGCCCACCCTCTGGGCATCTCAGGCACCACTTCAGCCTTCCTGTCAACTGCAGTGACCTTAAGTACATATGTACAACTATTTCAAAGAGTTAATCAAGTTCTGTGTACAATTGAGTCAAGTTGTGTACGTTATGGCGCCGCTATGGCTCATTTACCGGATATCTTAATGACATTAGGTCCAAATTGGGCCAAGATAATGGTGTTACTGATGAAAAGAATTAAAATGCAAAACATCTATTAGAATTCAACTTGCGCTGACATGTTTGATGAAGAATCGGATGATCTAATTATAGGACTCTGAAGGTGAAAAGGGTCACTTAGGGTACTCCCCCACAGAAGACAAATTAGTTCGTTTAACAAAGTCATATGATTGTAGCCAATTAAAGCCTTTGTAGCAGCATAAATTAGTATCCGCTGCACAAGAGTTCAAGTGGCCTGAAAGTGGATCTGATCTTGGCGGATTGTACGTTTGGAATGTCGGGGATTTTTGCTTTTTGGATACAGGAAATTGGGATATACATTTTTTGCAGAGAAAGCACTACATCGTCCCTTTTTTCATTCTCGCTTTTATATTCATTCCTACTTCCATTCGTTTATTTCTTCGCTAAACTTGAAAAATCGACACAAAAGCTCTACAGGTAATGTTCAGGGCAGTTATATTAAAATATTTAACTACAGTTGACATGGTTATTTCTCTGTCTCTTTCTATCAAGGTATTTCTATGTGGTAGCTATACTTCTCCGTGGTCAAACAAGATCGCCGAAAAAAACTGCCTGTAAGCACAAGGGCCACAAAGGTCGCGAAAGAACATACGGACTATGTTTATTATGATATTATCCAATTGTCTCGCCAGGAAATGTACTAAGGATGTCCGATTGGCCCGTAATGGTCACTCACCCTTGCTGGACCTCAGCAATTAGACAACACCGGAATGTACTGTAACACGAACTGAACTTGAAACACGCCAAAAATGATGATTTGGCAAGTGGACTCCTCACCAGGAATCGATTCAATCACCGTGATTGATCACGTGGTCATATGTACAGACTGCAATGTCACGTGATGGTCTTGTCTAGTCCTGTCCATTGTAATAGATGAGGATCGACGGTCCGGATGATCACGTGATGGTGCCAGGCATCGGCAGCCTCTGTACATTCGTTTAGCACAGGTTAAAGCATAGCCTCGATATTCTTTATTCACGATAGCCACCGGACGTAATGGTAAATGTGGCCTGTTGTTTTTGGATTCGGAATGCAATCGTTTTGCACAGGTTAAGGCAGGGCCTTCTAATTCATAATAGCCGCGGGAAATAATGGTACATGCGGTCTTGTAAGGGGGCAAACAGAATAATCTATTAAATAGCCTCAGAGGAAACATTCAACATGTTGAGGTCTACCTGTAACTTAAATCGTCCTAATGCATTTCTCCTTCCCTCCCCATAAAGCCGTATCAATGGCTAAGTATTCCTAAGGGCATATTTTTGCGACGTTTCAAACAGTATATACAGCCTGCAATATCCCCATTTCTGTAGACCTTGCCAAATCTCTTGAAAGAGAACTGAAAATAGCACATCACGTGATCAGACTTGTTTCACATGATGTACTTTGCTAAATGCTCATTCGATATGCCGGCAATTAGTACACTTTATCTCTTTCCACTAGTCCATTTATAGACCCTACTTGACGTTAGGATCAGAGCACGCACAAGAGATCAGCTAACGTTGTTGAGACTACTAGAGATACGAGAAGATTGTCCGGGCCGGGGTCAGGGTTATCTTTTCTGCACGCTCCTTTAAAGTAAACATGGAAACTTTCTTAAAGTGTTTCCGCTCAAGGGGCTACTATAGATTCAAAGAATCGATACGATTTACTTCCAATACGGCAGCCAGCTCACATGATCTTTGACAAGAAACAATGGAATGCGCAAGGGGAACTTTTTAATGGTGGATTTCTACACGGGTCCTACATGGTAGAACTTTGAGAATGCTATGTTCTTTGACTTATAATATCACATTATTATCATTTATATTTCCGTGTTCCTTTTTTGTGTTTTGTTTTGTTTTATTTTGTTTTGTTTTGATCAAGATGTCCGCAAATGAATCATTTGACCTGTAGCATATAACGACGAAAGATGACTGACGCTGATGTCACGTTTAGTTTGTTTATGAAAGAATGGGTCGTAAAGCCTGTGCTAAGAACAGTTTTTCTGAATGCATCAGATTGGCAATCTCTAATAATGATAATCAATAAATAAAACAACACTGATGAATAAAACATCAGCATTGTAAATGTAATTCAACACTGATAAAAGAAAAACCAGTGTTGTCAATTCGATACTGCTAGCCATCTTCTGCAGGCTAAGCTATGCAGCTTATCTTATACTGATGAATAAAACATCAGTATTGTAATCGCATTGCATTGTAATTCAACACTGATGAATAGAAAACCAATGTTGTCAATTTAATACAGCAATAGCATGTGCAGCTGACCTTCCTTTGCAGGCTCAGCTATGCATGCTATGTAACACTGATGAATAAAACATCAGTGTATACACTGATGAATAAAACATCAGTGTATTCTCATTGAAGTAGACAACGTACAACAAGAGATCTGAAGGACTAGTAATTTCTTTTATTAAAACCACAATGTAGATAATAAGAATAAATCATGACCTACCTACCTTTAAACATTTCTTGCTCTTTTTCCATCAAATTACTAATCAATCAACAACTCAAACTGTTGTCTTTCCAATGTCTTCAATGAAATCAAAAAGTCACATTAAATCAATCATTACAACAAAAACAACAATAATCAAACACTATTCTTTTACAATCGATAACAGTACCATAGTACTAGTACTAAGATTGTTTTATAAAAACACAGCAATGGCCATTCAATTTAGATGTTTTACCAAACTTGGTTGAATTCACACATGCTGATTGGCTTATTAGAGTGTATCAACGAGAAGACAGACACATTGTGCTGACACCATAATATCTTGATGTGCACTCAGTTGAAGGAGAAAATGATTTTCACTAATTCCAATAAACAAGAGTGTGTCAATAAGAGGGCATATAACTCAACACAGCACACAATTTGTTAAATACTCCGATTTCGAGTTCTGGTTTGCTCTGTGTTAGCCTCAAAACCAGGCAACATATTCTTTTGTTTYATTGGTAGCTCGAGAAAACGCATGGAATTTGAAAAGAAAGACAATGGAATTGATATGAAATCTTACACTTTTATTCTCACAATTAGGAATATTGTGCAAATGAGGCTAACACAGAGCATTGGAGAATTCGAAACTGGATTATTGAACATAAATTAGCTAGGACTGAAAGCTTACTTTGGTAACATAATTTATATCAACTAGTGCTCTGCTCTCAAAATCATCTATTATATATAAAATAACTTAAATTGTAACTTTAAAATAGAGCGATTCCTATAAAATTGATTCATCAAGCTGCAGCACTTCCCATGAACCTTTTGGGCTAAGATTCTCACCTCAATCATTATTTAGAACTCGCTAATGATTGTTCAAAATGTTAGCAACAAACTAAAGCCTTGGTCCACTCTGGAAACATATATTATGTGAAGAGCTTCAGATTTTTTTCTCTCAGGCTACCTTGAAACATAGCAGCATGACAAAATCAGTTGCCAAATATAACAAAATATATCAGATTTATAATAAATGAATTATAGTATATGAATTTGAGGCATTATTTGTAGCTTTCCATTATTTTTTTACTATCCAAGGAGACACTCTGTCTACACACTATGTCTGTTTCACAAACCTTTGCTTATATTATATATATATATGAATATAAATAGAATAAATTGAAGAAAAAGCCACGCAACTTGTAACTACGTTTAAATCTACTTTTATTCGAACGTTTCGGCACTTCGGCCTTCTTCAGCAAACTCTATATATGAATATATATATGTGTGAATGAATACAGAGTACATGACAGCTATGTACAATGTCCATGTATCCTTTCTCGAACTCAAGAATTCATAAAAACACAGGTATCATGTAACTAGTTATGTTACATTTTATTGTTGTTGTTTTAATGCCATCCCAGTCTAGTACTCGGCAATAATGCTAAAAAATTATAGAGTACTAAATAAAGTATCTGGATTTATCAAAGAAGTATTAAACAGTATTAGATGTCCTTTTTGTCTTCTACTCTTTCAATCCAGGTTTTGTTCCTCAGTTCAATCCAGGGATTATTTTCTGCTCTTAAAGGGTTAGGTAATTTGAGCAATACATCTTTGCAATTCCCAACAACTCTTGCAAACAAACACATATGGCCTGCAGCCTTCACCATCCACTCTGTTGAAACCATAAGCTCCCCTAGATCGACAGACCCATTTGGTCGTAAATCTTCCACAACTGTAAGAATTTCTCCATCTTTAAGTTTCACTTCCAATTTTCTTTCTTCCCAAGGCTGTTCTGAAAGCCTGACTTGGATATCTTGAATGTTCCTTAGGTAGATTTCTTCACATAGAGGCCCATTGTATACCCTAAATGCTGGACCAGCCTTGAGTTTTGTTACTGTCAGACAATAACCAAACTTTGAAAATATTGAAAATTGAGGATTGTTTGAGAAACCAAAAGACCAGGGTTCTTCATAAACACTATCAACTTCACCAGACACAAGAGAGCAATTTGACAGCATTCCTATCTCTTTCTCTAACTTTTGAAGATCTTCAGATGGGATTCCTGCGTCGAGGATTTCGAGGGGAGTTTCCAGTGAATTTGATTTGCCAAGAGACAAGGCAATGACTCGCTCGTTGGTTTTATGGCTGTAATATTGCCCAGTTCCAATGAAAATGTGCGTTTTATTTCCATCGTCAAGCTTGTTTTTAATGCACGATAATGCTTCTGGTACATTCATCGATGGAATAACATTAGAACTTGAACTCAAGAAACTCACCTTCGTCAAAACATTAGCAATTTTCCTTTGAAATCTCGACAAAACGCCTCGAAAATGACAGTGCATCATCCTAAAAATATACACAAACATATGAATTTCACATTTTGCTGAATGTGACACAGAAAAAAGCAAATTCAATAAGGAAAATGAAGTCAATATTTATATAGACTCACATGTTTTCGACTTTTTAAACACGCGCGCCCGAATGACGGTCAGGAATGCATTATGGGTCAAGTCCAGTACAAAACGGTCACACAGGACACAGGATGCCTAGATGATAACAAAACTTTCTCACATTATTAATTCAATTAAACCACAGAAAAGCTCCGATAAATTTAAATTCAGTAATGTTTTTTGAAACATTGTTTTAAAATCTCTTTTATATCCCAAACAGTACAGCGCTCGCGAAATGCTATGACGTCACGCATCGAACATGACATCACAAAAACATTTTTTGACGTCAGTGATTCAGTTTAGCAATTACAAGCTTTACTTAGACAAGCACTATCATGGCTTGTCTTAAAAACAAGATATTATATCTTCAATCTTCATATTCAATATGATTCCCGAAATTGTTGCGTACTACATTTTTAACATCTACTGCTGCATAGCTGCAGTGATCGTGGGTGGAACAACGACAGCTGTGGTTGTCATCAAGTTGTACTACCCGCGGTATGATGTCTTCTACATCAGTTCACAGAGCAGGAAAGGTAATCATTTCTTCCTCAAACTGGAATTTCATTCACGTAAAACTACATACATAGTTGACTTTTCTTTTCTTCTTCTTTTCTCAGGCGTTGAAGATCATTCCGCCAAAGCTACAGCAAATCGTACACGTTTTAAGTGTACAAGTCTACAATTGTATAACCCAAATTGGAGTAAAATCCAGGAATTATGGCGTTTGCCCAAACCGCCACGCCTTACATATGGTTTCCAAGGATACCTTTATAACAGAGGTAAAGAGCAAATGTATATTGTGGAACTAGAATTTCTTGAATCAGTCCAAAGATCTTATACTGCTCTCAAAATATATATAACGCGCAATCGGCTATGAACACAGTCGTGAGGCAAGATACTAAATAATCTGCTGTCAGTCATTAAGCCGTGGAGATTCTCGCTTACCTTTTTACTTACGTACACTTCACATTAGCTCTGAAAGGACGTAAGAGAACAACACCCAAAAAAATAGCCAGTCGAGGACTGCATTTGACTCAGTCCATTAATAGATTTAGTAAACTTTGAATACACAGTATACATGGTTTTCTGAATTATCTGTATACGCTGCAAGGAACTGAAAGCATCACGTGGCGATTAACCATTAACGTTGCCTATGAATACACAATTCCCAGGGGCTAATGAACCTATTGTGACAGTTGATCATTCCTCCCGTGGGGCAGTGACGCGGGGCGCCCTAGCTGCTTCCCTGCCTACAGTAAACATCCATCTGAAAGATTCGAAAAGGGATTTTTTATCCACGACATGGAGCAGTCCTTAGAGCTTTAATTTAGCTGTATTCTAAAACATCTCATTCTGTATATGTTGACTCTCGAACGTTCTCTTCGATAAAATGTTTTTATTATTAAATCTGTATTTTTACATCTATGTTCTAAAATTACTATCATTTTTGACTCCCGGACATATAATTTTCCGTGACAGTGCCAAGTGCATTTTATACTATGCCAAGCGGCGAAGAAGCTTTAAATTGTCAACTGGATTTTATCAAAAGGAAGACTATCTACACTAAAATACAGTAAAGTATTTTTTAATAGACTGGATTAACATTTTACTGTGATTTTGGTGAATTATTTTGACTCGGCATCCACCCCATCTCCCATCAAAACCCACCCCACCCCCCATCAAATAATAAATCACTGAAGAATGATTATGCAAAGTCTGCATCGTTTGCTAATTCCCGAGATAAGCTCTGATTGGCTCGCTGATCCCTAAGGATTTTGGTGACGTCATATATTAGCATAGAACTTCACCGAATAGACTACCCCCATTAGATATTAGATATCTATAAGTGTCTTCATAGTACGATGGTCTAAGAGGTTAGCTAAAGGTATGCTCTAGTGGGCGGCTACCCCCTCACTCCCTGGCCTTTTGGTTAAGACTAAGTTTTATGTTCACTCGGGATAGCGTGGAAGAGCCGAAATCTCTAACCGTAACGTAAGCCGATTCGCCGCCTCAGCTTCATAGAATGTCTCGGGGGAATCGTCCCATCTTTTTAGTTTTTTATTTTCATTATTTCTTATGTATGCCCGGGGAATCGTCCCATCTTTTTAGTTTTTTATTTTCACTTATTTCTTATGTATTCCGGGGGGGTACATCTTCTCCTGAAATGACAGTTCTGAGTTCGAGTCCTGTTCCTGGTATTTCTCTTTTTTTTCCGCTCGTTTATTGTTTCTTTTTCGATTGTTTCTTGTTTTCTTTTCTTCTTTTTTTTTTTCTTTTCTTGTTTTCTTTGCTGTTGTTACTTCGTTTGTTTTTCTCTAGTGATTTTCTTTTTTTCAACTTAAAAATATCAAGGACTCGCAAGGAACGCCTGCTACAAGTGGATGTTTACGGTTCGGTTACTCAACAAGATGACATAGTGACGAGAGGCCCCATAAGGCCTTTCGTCACAAAAAGCGCACAAACAAATGGGGAGACTTGAGAACCAATAGCGCACTTAATGGTGAATACTAGTAGAACTGGTTGATATAGGAACTGGATTGTAGAATGAATTAATAAATTATTGATAGACTACGGATAAATAAATGAATAGATAAGTCACAATAAAGAAGGGGATAATTAGGATTAATGCGGTAGAAGCAAGCTGTTTTAATAGAATAACATTAATAATTCCAGTTGCGAGCGTAAAAATGACAAAGCACATCGAAGCCAAGCGAACAACTGCATTGGCGGTCGTGACAAGACAGCCCGTTGACAGCAGTCTTTTGGCGGCGTGTGTTCTTCCTGGTCTTTTTTTGCTGGTCTTCATCTTGGTTGTAATAATCAAATGGTAAGTTTAGAGAACAACCAGCGAATGAGACGTTGATGTTACAAAGTACTCGACTAAGAGTGCGGCGCGGAGGCTCTCTCCAGTGTAGGGAATCACTTAAGAGCAACAAACAGCTTTGCGAGATGCCTGTGTGTGGAAAAGCAAATTAGCAAATAAATGTAATGGGGAGATTTCTCGTTGTATATCAGAAATGGTAAGAAGCGTTGGCAAAAAGGAAGGAACAAAGAGAGTCCATGTAATCAGCAACTGAACAAAACGTAGTCTATCCTGAAGTTATCACTCTTTATCGAATACGTTATCTTTCATTTTAGCCGTAGAGCAAAAAAACTAAGAGGATGTGTCAAGGAAGCGACGGCAAGCGTCAAGGCCATTCACAGGTATGATTTATTTTAATATGATATATTTTTTAACAATGAATTAATTGGAATTAATATTTGACAGCCAAATTGTCGCCATTGAGCAACAAATCTCCAAGAAGGTGCCATCCTTGAAGAAAGACGATGCACCTCAAAAGATTCAAGGTTTGATCGACGATCATGCTATCATAATCCTTCGTAAAATGAAATAAAAGTCTTTTTCCAATATACTAATTTTATATTAATTTTAGTTCCACCACTTGATCGAGAACCATCCGCTAAAGGGAAGGAGATAGTCCCATGGGTACCACCACACCTACTGCTTCTCAAAGGCAYTGAAAGGTACAACACACACAACAGATTAGATATTGATAATTGATCAGTTTAACCTGTTTTATCAATACGTGAATCATTGTATTAAATGTTTATGAAACTACATTGATAGGCACTTGGTATTTTACAGCCGCAAAACTGCCGACATGGAGAGAAAATTGTTCAAGATGGTACTCGAGGCACATCCAAGGAACCCAGGTATAATGATCCCCATGCAGCCGCGAATAAGGCCCGCATATAGTAACAAAAATAGCACTTCTTTTTCACTCACATATTCCGCCTTATCTAAGTGTCCCGGCTTTCTGAAAGGTAGTCTTGTATATATAATTACAGTAATGTCGTTTTATTTCCTCAGTGTCTACAGGCAGAGAGATTGTTCCTTGGGTCCCACAGCTGGTACTCCCTAAGCCCGCCCAAAGGTATACAATCAAAAATTTAAGAACTATACTCACTTCACATGCGCTACATTAAATTCAAGTCTATGATTATTGAGTTAATCATTATATTTACACTAATGATGAGAGATTGCCTGTATTTAGTGGCCACAAAACTGCCGACTTGAAGAAAGAAGTCCCCAAGAAGGTGGTTTATTCTCAGGAACATCAAAGAAACTCAGGTATGCACCCATATTAGGAACCAGCCCATCCTCTCTCTCTGTCTTTCGCTCCGTATCAGGCTCCATGCGAAAAGACAAGGAGTAACCCGGTATCGGTGTCAGGACCGGGTTAAAGTAACCCGTAATACGACTTTCGACTCATTTTTGTGACAATATTGATGTTGACAGTCGTCGATCAAGAACTCAACAAAGGGAAAGAAATCGTCCTATGGGTGCCTCATCTCGATCTTCTCAAGGTCCCCAAGAGGTACGTACCCAAAATACAAAATAATATAACTCTTATAAAAACAAAAATTAGAAGCCAAATAAAAATGCCTACTTTTGACGATGTAAAATTATTGAGAAAATCATCATATTAACTGTGCAACGATAGGGACTTGGTAATGGTCAGTGATACGAACAATGTCAAGAAGACGATGACATGTGAGACATCTCTGAAGAACAAAGGTATGACTGACCCCCATGTGCGCGCGAATGAAGCCTGCGTTAAAATGCTACACAATAAAAGTAAAAGTCTTTCATCACTTTGTCACATTTGTAGTGTTTGATTTTGATTCAGCAGTCGAGAAAGAATCCTGCAAAGAAAAAGGACACAAGGTTACAAAACCTCAAAGGTAAATAACAAATGTAAAGGCATCACTCCATAATAAAAATTGCATAAGAATTATGTATATTGAATGTTTAACTTTGCAATGAAAGGAACCTGGTATCTGCTAAAAACAAAATTACCAACATCAAGAGAAAATCCACAAAGACGATCAAATATAAGACACCAAAAAAGATCTCAGGTATGTGGCAAAGTTAAATAGGAACACGCCCATGCATACTCTCTTAGCCTCTCACTCGCCTTCTTTCTCTTATGGAATCAGCTGAAGCTAGCAGAGAAAAACCCGGGCCTGACACCGCTACCAGCACGATCCAAAGATCAGCTTCAGAGGTTGTAAAAGTAAAAAAGATCTACAAATCTGTTGCCCCCAAGGAAGCAGCATCTGCGACACGATCGGAACATCCAGTTGGTACAGAAGACGCAAATATCAATGTTGATTTCCTATTAGCATCAATTCCACCAGCGGATAATTCAAAGGGACAAAATGAACCCGTTAATGGTGAATTTCTACTCCCAATAAAACGAGTAGATGACGACTCGGCACAAAAAAGGTACGAAAACTATCATGTTCTTGCTGTAAATGTATCATGTTCTTGTTACACCTTGTTGGGGTTGTCTGCCGGATATTAATAGCAACAATTATTTAAAATTCCTAAGTTTTATTAAGTAAATGATAGGAATTTCTGGCGTGTCGGAAAAAAGGTAAATTTGTGTCCCCATCATTTTTGCTCTACAGAGCGGACAAAAAGAAAATCCGATTAAAGGAGAGAAACAAAGAAAAATCTCCTGCAACACTCGACACAAATCTGCAAAGCCACAAGGATCATTGTTCTTCTCGAAGATTTAAGCCACTAATTTTAGAATCCAACAATAATAATCTTGAGAGTTCGTTGAAAAGACAACAAATATCGAGGACAGCGAAGAAGAAGAAAGAAAACAAGAACAAAGGAACCGCTAAGMAGCGCGATGTAGGCGTCTCTTGTAGTGACCAGTCAACGCGGTCAAACTTCTCGATACACTCAGATAAAGACTTTCCTAGTCTTGGCAATAGTCTTTCACCTAAAGAAACCCAACGTAAACAACTGAAGTTAAAAACCTCAGGTAGAACTTTTTGAGCATTAAAAATGATGAGTTTTTGATCATTTGAACACTGACTGTATAATTTGCATGTCAAACAGTCAATCAAGAATCTAGCCTTCCGCCTGAAGAAACCCAGCGTAAAGAACTGAAGTTAAAAAACTCAGGTAGGACTTTTTGACGAAAATTTTCATTTAGACACTCATGTTTAATTTGTCAAACAGTCTTGAATATTTTGCTGGTAGACTTCATTCTTGGAGAAGAACTATCTCGGCATTGCAGATTTTCAGGGACCCGAAGCAATATTATTCCTTTGGTCCCTGAAAATCTACTGAAAGACAGTGTGAGCTGTCGATTTGTTAACAAAATGTCGCTTCCTATTCGATGCTTTTTTAAGTACCTTTCAGTTTGCGTGGCCTTGAGGAGCACTGGACGTTGCAACAATGGGACGATCTCTTTCCCAGTTTACAAGATTCTTGAAGATTCTTGAAGAATCTTGTAAACTTGGAAAAGAGATCGTTCCATTTGCAGGCTAAGTATATCGAGGACGATGAACAGTCCAGACTTACCAACGCATATATAATTCAAACAAACCAGGGGCTAGAACTTCTACATCGAGGGGTTAAAGAATGGTAAAACTTCCTCGTCCATGCATTTGTTTTGTTCTTTTTTAGAACAAGATAAATGTATGGATGTGGAAGTTTTACTTCCGTTAAGGGCTGCAGATAAGGGGGTTGAACTAATTGAACAGAAAAAAAAAACACTACGTGCTAGCATTAGTAACTTTTCTTAAAAGATGTTTTCCGGTGCTACTATATACACTATTAATCAGCCGGGGGGGGGGGGGGGGCACTGGCCCCCAACAAAATACTTTCAATATTCTATGAAGTTGGGTAGTGGTATAACAGAGGCAGCTGGAATACCGGAAAAGAGAATAATTGTTTTCCGTTTTTGCCCTTTAGGGACCACAAGAAAGGTAATAAAAAGAGGCAAAGAAACAGAAAAACAGCAGCAACTTTAGACCCAAATCTGTAACTGAAATCTCCCGCGATTGAATTGACGTCACTAAAAAATTCTCTCTCAAAAAGCTGATCACAGTCAAGTCTTTCATTATAAGTTTCTTCATATTAAGTCATTGGTTAAATAAAAAATCATCGAACAAGAAAATGTTTCAATTAGCTGTAGTTCGACATATATCGCCATTACTACTGACATAATGTATGAGTTAATCCCCAGTAATGGCCGGAGAATTAACACTTTACAGCCCGCGGGATTTAACACTGTTTTAAGTAATGCACCAAGTAAGAACTAGGGAAGCAAACGGCATAGGAATGCAAGAAGGTGCTAATGGTGCATTGTATAATCCAACCATCCCATTGGTTAAAACATGAAAATCTGACATAATTTCACAAGTTAGCGAATTTTCTAATATTTTATCTAATGTCTGTTTTCGCTTTATTAAAGCTTTCTTTAGCTTCAATATTAAGGTAATTCTATGTGGGGAACATTGCAAATTAGAAGCATCTCTTGGCTATTGTTTTGAGTACTTATGATTGGATAAGAGCTTTTAATACAAAAGAAACTTTGTTTCAAAATAGTTTATCCACATCTTATTTCAAAAATGTGTTACCCACAGGTTAATACATAATCAGTGTGAAAACCAAGAYATTCBTACRTGGGGAACTYGYTATGCCGCAGAACAATAGAGAGTTCCCTAGTTCTTAAGCGCATTGTTACTTAACAAAAAATTAAAAAATTAACTTAGTTATTCATCGGTTTTCTCATTCTTGCTACTACTACTACTGGCCAGTTAATTGGTACCTTTATTTAATGAATTATTTATATTCGTACAATTTCATAATCTTCCATCATACAAATTTTCATGCATTGTTATTTAGAAATGAAGTGATGCTCTAAAGCACTTGGTATTTACAATTCCTTGTTAACTTGCCTCCTACCATTTGTACTTTTCAGGCATATTATTAAGAAATTCCTCCTCAGCATCAGTATTCTTGCGCCCAAGTATTTTATTTCTTTGTGGATATCTTCCAAACATATCTATAATTTCCTAGTTGGAGTAGTAATACAAAGATTTTATTGCAAAAAATGACTAAACCAGATAGCACTTACTAACACTTTTCAAAATTTAAGATCATAGACAATAAGAGGTCAGAGATAAAATTGAACATTCATGAATAGTGGATAATCATCACCCAGAATCATCATTCTATTTTGTTACTCGTTTACTTGTTTTTTTACTTGTTTTTTTTTTGTTTTTTTTTTTTTTGTTGTTGTTGTTGTTGTTTGTTTGTTTTTGTTTTTTGTGGAATTGTTTATATGCCGATGCACACAAAAGGTTGATAGAGTTGAGTACTCAAGTATCTGGAAATACCATCAATGTTCAACCATTCAATCATCATCATCATCATCATTATCATCATCATTATCACGATCATCATTGTTATCATTATTATCATAATAATATTTATTATCATCATTATGTGCAAAAAAATATATGGACATAAAAAACAGTGAAATGAGGACTTTTCAAGACATATACCTTGTGATTTTTAGCAAACTGTACAAAGCCTTTTGTTTTTTCAGCATACTCTGTTGCCTCTGCATCCTTGGCTAGTTGCTCAACAAGAGCCACTGATAGTTCCTGTAATGTAATACTACAATATTAGGTCATGGTAAAGATCCTATTGGCCCCTGATATATATAATAGGTTTCCGTGTCCATCAACCTCATCGTTGTTAGTTTTAGTGTAAGGCTTCCTGTGGACACAGGAATCCCAAAGAAACTACAAATGAAAAATACACATAACTTAATCTTATTTCTAAAGCAAACCTGATCTGAAGGATCTTCACTGTGTTCCATGGGAAGATAGATAAATAACCTCTCATTGAACGATTGCTTTAGATGATCATGAGTCTTCCTCTCTAAAAACTACAGCAAATTATAGACATCAATCTAGCAAACCTGATCTGAAGGATCTTCACTATGTTCCATAGGAAGATAGATAAATAATCTCTCATTGAACGATTGCTTTAGATGATCATGAGTCTTCCTCTCTAAAAACTACAGCAAATTATAGACATAAATCTTGTGTTTTACCAGCAATTAACATGTATAAATCGCAAACATATTAACAACCTCATGTTGAGGAGGAGTGTATGTTGACAAAAATCTTACTGTTTCTGCCCTCTTAAATCTTAGAAGAAGCTAATTTCAACATATTTGATATAGGGCAGTGCAGAAACTCACCTTTTTTGTCAACTTTCTTGCTCTTTCATCTCCATCAAAAGATTTTGGACTGCCCTGTGTCAAGCAAAACTTACCATTTAGCTTAAATTGAATTTGACACCTTTGAAGGTATAAGTGTACATAGGAAATAAATCATCTACAACTCTGAAATATAGAAGGGGTTCCAGATGACCATGCCCCTTGTATTGGTTGTGTATCATCTAGCTCTACTTAATTTTAGAAATAATTATACACCCTTTTAATAAGTCCCGAGGTATTCGAGTTCTCTGTACTTGACTTGACGTCAAATTTATTCTTTTAAATTTTTTAAAATACAAAGGGAATTCAAAAGAATAAACTTGACATAAAGTGCAGACAACACAATACCTCGGGACTTATTAAAAGAGTGTATAAATTAAAGTTCTTACTCTGTAGATGCTCCTACTGAACTGATCAGTCAGAATAATTAGTGCCAGTGATGGTTTGGGTTCTAGTTCCCAGTCTTTTAACCCACCTTGGTGAGCAAGCTCTACCTGAAATTCATGATAATATACCATATCAGCTGATGTCGCACCAATCTGATCCAGTTACATATATCCAACTTATAGAAACAATAACATAGATCATAAAGTATAAAAAAGTTCCAGTGCTTAGTAAATTGATTTACCATTTTGCCAAATTGATCTTTTATTTCATTGTCAACCTTCTCCCCTCCTCCAAACCATTTGCTCTCTGCACCAGGGGAAAACCAGTAATCAAGAACATCTTTCCACGAATTATTATCACCATTAGACATACATCTTGCTTGCAAAAACCTGTTAAAATCCAGAGTTTTCTTACTTCAAAGTATGTTAAATTAAATATCAAGTTCCAAAATTACTCAAGTTTAATTAAGAATATTGAATACATCAAGACTACATTATGTCCACTTCAGGGTTCATATATTTATTTTTGTAAAGATAATTTCAGTCTTTACTTACCTTTTGAGATGAAATTGTTTGCTAAAAGCTAAATTAACGCGAGATAACATACTTGTGCATTGAAAACAATTCAAAATGTCCGCCTTTGATCTTGTTTTGGGAACATCTGTCAACAAGTACCGGCTCGTGAGTATAAAGAAAAACTTAGGGGAGGGGTGGGGGAAGTATCAATAATATTTTGTTCAAAAGAAGAGATTCAGACTAATAAAACGAATCAAAGCTTATGCTATAATTCTAAATAATATCGTATGTACTATGACGTAAAACGACTTTTTGAGCTCTTCAAAATGGCTTAAATAGCATTTACATCTCTTTCTCGTCCCCCCTCCCCCTTAGTATTTTTTTCAATAAAGTTGAGGGGACTGGGTAGGTGATAATCCTACCGAAGTTGCTGTTTTTGCTCGTCCAATTTGTCTATCCAGGTGAGTCCTATTTTGCCATATCTAGCTGCATATTACCTAAATAATTTTATCTATACCTTCTAAAGAATAAATGGTATAGTTAGATGTGTTTTTAATCGACATCTTTTGAACAATCGAATCCCTTAAAAGCTTAAATAAATGGGTTACCGGCACGTTAGCATTCGTAACATCATTCGATTTATAAAACGTAAGATTGCCTCAGTAACTTTCACAATTCAATACTGAGTAAGCTCAGAGATTTATGTATTACGGTGCTGCTTGAGTTCTGCACAAATATTACTTGTGTGGGTACTTGGGTCGCCCTTTGTCCAACGACAAGCCGACCTTACAAGGGTCACTTTTTCAAAGTCTTATCAGTTAAAACCGAATGTACACTCATAGCCAATAAGATGAAAAAGGCATCAAACACTTTTCTGTTTAGATTCATGAACGTAGATTGGAAATACGGAAGGTTATCCATTGGAAAGTTTAATTAAGAAATTCATTACATTGTTGACCATCAACCATGAATAATAAAGAGGTCACGCTACGATGACATAAGTGTATTAGAAACCTTATGCCTATTGATTATATGAAGCTCAAGTACAATTATCTTTGTTTTAGTGAAGATTCGGGTTTCCACCAATACCGTCCGTAACGGTAAGAGTAAATTTTTTTGTCTTATGTAGTGACCGCCCATGTTGCCATTAGCGTTGCGTGACGACACACCCCAGACCCCCAGAATCTTTCATACTCGGTCGGACATCCAGGCAGTTGGAGAAGATGTCCTGAGATTTGTCTCGCACATGAAACAACCGTCCGTAAAGATTCTCATGGGATATTCCTATAGTTCAACTAGCTTGCATTGCTAAAAAAATTGAATTTGGCGTTATTTTTTCCTCTAGCTGAATCTTAGTAAAAATGTCTGGTAGAGAATGGGGTGCAGTCCTTGATTACTGGTTTGGAGGAGGGGATCCAAGCAAGAGACCAAAGTGGTTTGGAGGTGGTGAGGCTGGAGCCCAAGAAATCAGGGAGAAATTCGGACATTTGGTATGTGCGCGAGTCTCGCTTTCTTACGGGTCTTTTATAGATCCGCGGTCACAAAATGGCAGTTGGTCAAAGTAACGCGCGCGCTCTCGGTCATATGCAATATGGAATAATATTTCTTAGTATCCGATTTCCATTTATTCTTTATTCCCATAATCGTATGTTCGAAATATATGTTTGGAGGCCTGAATTGCCTTTGTTTTCTGTACCTTTTTTTCATACGAATATCGTCAGCATTTGGTCCGTAAACTCTCGGATTCGTACGTCTATGCACCAGTGTCCTATTAAATGTGTTAACATAATTTAACGCTTTGTAATTATTACACTGTCGCATCTCTTGTTCAGGTTGAGAAAGCAAGAAATGATGAGCTGAAGCACTGGGAAGATGATCCTAAAGCTACATTAGCTCTCATCATCTTGCAAGATCAGTTCTGCCGCAGTCTCTACAAGGTTTGAAACCATTACAGCATATAGTGATCCTTCTCACATTGGTACCCATGCCACAAAACTTTATAATTATCATATGCGATTGTTTATTTGCCTAGGGAACACCTAAATCCTTCGACAGGGATCCTTACTGTAATATGCTGGCCAAAAAGGTGATATTCATTAATATTTTTGCGTTGTCGTAAAAAAAAAATTGGCTTGGCGCAAAAATCAATAAGCGCACGACAAAGGCGGGAAGGGCGCACGGTTGAATCCACGAGTGTGAAAGCAAAGTGATGGTAGAGTGACTCCGTAAACCTGTGAACTTCAAGTCTATTCATTCAAGTTATAGTCAATATTAGGCATGACTTTGTCATTGCATACATTGTGATTTTCCAAAAAAAATCTAAATTTCATTTCTATTTTTCTTTCAGTTCTTAGAGCAGAAAACTCACGATCATCTGAAGATGAGCATTTCAGGTCGATTGTTTATCTACCTGCCTATTGAACATTCTGAAAATATTGATGATCAGGTACAGCTATATCATGCACGAAAAACTAAAATTGACAAGGAATATTTTACTTGTCTTTGAGACTAAATGACGTTCAGTGCGTTGTTCGAAAAAAATTGGGATTCAAAATGGGATCAACAGCAGCTACAAACTGAAATGTTGCAAATGTTGCTTCCTTCCACGAAGATCTTTAATTTAAAGTGCAGGGATCGTATTCAATGTTTCTTAAAAGCATTCTGCATAACGTTGTTCGCTCTTATAAGACATTCGCCATTTTGACACTTTATCAATACCATGATGCACTTCGCCGAAACAAACCATGACGTCATTAGTGTGGAGGACCATTATGAGACTGACACCTATATTCTTTGTTGCTTTGTTTAGAAACTATCCGTTGAGCTGTTTAAAAAACTTCAAGAGGATACAGTAGGAACGTCAGAGGAGGGTGCCGGGAAAGGTTTCCTGGACTTTGCTGAGAAACATCTGGTGAGTCCATCAGCCTGTATCGTTTTACATTGCATTCCCTATATCACGACGAGAAAACGAAAATGCTACGAAAACGCATCAGTGTATATACACCTGAACTTAGTTTATAAAGATAATTGAAAAATTGTGAAATCTCAAGTGATACACTCCAACATGGGGCGTATGCAGGGGTTTCATAGGCATTTCTCATACTCATTAATTATTCATGAGGTATCCAGCCAATCCCTGATTGTAATTTGTACCACGTGAAGTAACTTGAAACCAGAGGAAGTACTCGTAACTTTGTATTCTACCTTATTTCCAGTTACTTCTACCTTTTTCAAGTTACTTCTACATTATTTCCAGCTATTTCTACCTTATTTCCAGTTACAAATACTTCGTTTCCGAAAGAAGGGGTTTCCAGAAACTCTTGCCAACTCTACCTTTCTTCAATATTGTGGAGATTTATAGCTCTACACTTTATAAGTCGACATCTAGGTCAGAGATGTGTCTAAAAGAGCCAACTTCCCTTTACTTAGTAAACCGTATTTTGTACATTTCGTGGTTTGTTATGAAAGCAGTTTCTTCATTTAAGGCACTCTGACTGACCACAACTCATTTTTCAGCATATTGTAGAGAAATTTGGTCGTTTTCCTGCACGTAATGCAGCAATTGGAAGAGAAAACACTCCTGAAGAGACAGAATGGCTTGCAAACCCTCCAGCTGGTTACTCTTTTTAGCGGAAACCAACCTTACGTTTATTCACGTGATAAGATTTGCTTTTGATCACGTGATGAAGTACCTCATCACATCAAAGATGCAGTTTTTCAAATATTTATTTTGTATACAGGAATTTCAAGAAGGGTTGTTATAAAAGCAGAGAATTTATTAGGACTGGCTTTATTGCGTGATGATCGCCATCAACATAAACCAATACCAAACTTCATTTGTGCATTCTTCATCTCTATAGTGACCATTTTTGAAATGGCGAAAACTAATATGTAGACTTTAAATAAATATTCAGAAAATTACTTTGTAGTAGAATAGTGTTCTTCGAAGAAAGACATGTATGAAACAGCAGAGTAGTGGCTTGCGCTGTCAATCCCCGTTTACACTTGAAATTTTTGCAGCGCGATTATCTATTGCGCACCTAAAATCGCACGTGTAAACAGCCCTGCGATTGTTACGGCGATCGCAAAATCGCTAGATTTCAAGAATGTTCGAAACTCAGGCGATTGTCGCGCGACAATCGTGCTTCAAAAATCGCAAGTGTAAACGGGCCTTCAGTATCTACCAAAGCATAATTCAATGGTTTCAGATTTTTGTATGCATACAATACTCAACTATAAAAATATCAAATTCATGTTTTTATTATCAGTTATTATTGAGTGTACTCTATTTACAATGCTAACTCAAAACACAAGCATGGGATTACATCCTTCTCCCGATATTACTGGAACGTATCAATATTGACAGGCAACTATCTGGGATTACTGTGTTGATATAAGACTGAGAAAGACTGGAAACAAGGATGTCTTCTTGACAAGAGACCCTGCTAAACTAAACTAAACTGGATTTGCTTAGTTTGTTTTACATTTTCCTGTTTGCTTTCTTTTCTTTCTTTGTGTGTAAGAGCAGAGGTATCAGTATTGCCAAGTACTGTGTAAATAAGTTAATATCTAATCTACAGACTGATTTAACCAGACAAATCACCAGCACCAAACTTTACTTCATCGTACTCCTCTGCTTTAATGTTACGACCACCAAACCACCGATTATGAAGTGCTGCAACTGCTTTTTCAGTTTCTAAAACGAATAAAAGAAGTAAGAGTTCACAGAGACCCATCTGAATTGTACTTTAAAAAAAATAACAACGTAATGGAGAAATATAGGTATTTCATTGATAATTAAACGATAAATAATGATTATTACCAGATGTCTGGGAGAATTCCACAAAGATCTTGACAATGATGTCTGCGTCGTCCTCTTCTCCCTGTTTTTCTTTGTATATAATAACTCTGTTAACAACGCCAAACTTGCTGCACTCGTCCGTTACTTCATGCTCAAGATCCTCATCGAGATCTTCTACGCCTACCATGTTTCTAAGGACCATAACTTTGGACTGAAAACATACAAATCAATTAATAACATACAGCAATTCTTTCATGAAAGCTTATCACAAAGAATGGTATACAGAGAGATCATCAAATACTGATTACATAATTGGTATCAAGTCATTTCACTTGCCTACCATCTTGCCAAAGTATTTCCAAGACAATATTGAAAAGTTTTTTTTTTCATTAATATTGTTCTCTTAGTACTGAACTATTATTAACTATTGTTAAGGCATGGCCCTTAATTTGTAAATATACAAGAAAATGTCATATTGCGTGAAAAGTGAAAAGTAATAAAAAATTGATTGAAAAAAAAAACTATTGTTAAGGCTTTATTATATTATATCTAAGTGTAAATTAGTCATCCAGTCGTGATAATTAAATAAAGTGATAAGTCAAATACTGGACCAAAGTTGAAACGATTCACGACGTTTCGATCGATTACACCGATCTTCCTCAGGTAGAATGACCAGTTGAACCACCAACCAGGGTTTTATTGTGAGGCAAGCGGCGAGGAACGCCTTTGTTATATTGTTTTGAAGAGCGTCTATTGTTTGTAAATTGTTTTCTAAACCAATAACAAAATTCTATACAATCAGGTCATGATGACACCCTCACCCACATAATCTTATGGCCAATTTTAGAGATTGTTGTCCCTCACCTCACTCTTACGTGACAATTTCTGCATAACCATGTATCTTGCATTACTGCCTGAAATGGACATGTTTTCTTCATGGCTGATGCTTCCTTCCACCATCTTCCGCTGTGCTTCCTCCTCTATTTTAGCTTTAACCTCTGCCTGCTGTTTAGCTATGGCAGATGACTGTTGTTGCTGCTGTTGTTGTTGTTGCTGCTGTTGTTGAAGTTGTAGTGCTTCGGCTGTGGATGTCGTCAAAGCAGCCGCGGTGGTCATTACTGGCGTGGCGATGACAGGATTGACTGGTACAACTGGAGTCGGAGTAACTGTTGCAAAATAAATAAGAGATTCATTCATTTTCTTGAATAATAAAGTAAATCATTAATTTGTATAAGAAATCGCACGACCTTGAGTACAATTTGGGATTAATAGTCACGAGTAATGTTTTGAAAGTTCTTCGTAATTGCAGAAGCCCGATAGGGCGAGTGCAATTTGAGAGCTTTCAAATCATTACGAGTGACTATTAATTCCACACTGTACAAGAGGTTATGTGATTTTTTGTTTATAGTACATTCAGTGAAACAATTAACACTGTAATTGTACTCCTCTCGACCAATCAGAATGTATTATTTTGTTGAATGTACTATAAACGCTGTAATTGTACTCCTTTCGACCAATAAAAAAGTATTATTTTGTTGAATGTACTAATATTTTCTACCTGAGATCATGGTTGCTGTTGTAGCAAGAAGAGGTTGTGGAGCCAAAGCTGTTGGGAAAGTAACCAATCCTGGAGTGGTGATTATTGATGGCAGGACATTGGTAACAGCTGGGATGGTTATTGTTGGAACTAAAAAAAAATGACATTTTACTTCCATTTGACACTTAAAATATAACTTCTATGCCTTAACAAGTTATATAGTAGTCTGTGTGGATGTACACAGGCTAGTTATATACTGTAGTTAGCTGTAGAAGATTGAATAAATTTTCATCAGAACAACAAGTTTTTTTTTTTTTGTGGAGTCATTAAATCCAGAATGATACTTACATGCAATGTCTCCTTGAATGCCTTGCTCTTGTGCTTGTATCTTTGCTGATACTGCAGCGGCAGCAAGAGCTGCAGCGGCCGGTAAAGTTCCCGGTGGAGGGGCAAAGCTTGGAGTGGATGACAGTCCACCTGACGGTGGAGTTATAGCTCTACCAACTCTCAAGTACTGACCACCAAGGTCAAAGAGATTCATGGAGGCAATGGCATCATTTGCAGACTGTTGGTTTTCATACTCCACAAAACCATATCCTTTGTGCTTATTTGGCATAACATCTTGAGCTAGACTGCAGCTTACTACTTTACCAAATGCTTCAAATACACTGCAGTGAAAAAGACAAAAGCTAAATATAGATGCATCAAGTAAAATGGAGAACACTTTAACTGGACTACAAAATAGGGTAAAAAAACATTTTTGTACACATTTCATGGTGGGTGCATGACAGCAAAGTGGCTATTGTTACACAGTAACCACACTGCAAAATTTCTTAAACTGTTAACTATGAAGAGTCACTTAAGACACTCAACCAATTAGAGTACCTTTTGATGTCATCCTCATGTAGATCTGGATGAACAGACGCAATAAAGATTCTGGCATATTTCTTTGCTTCCTGTTCAAACTGCTCGATAAGAGGAGCTGCTTGGGGAACATTACTTGGTCGGCCGACCTGAAACAGTTAACATGAGTTGAAGTAGATACATTCATTGCATATCTAGACAAATCTACAATGTACAAGCAGGACCTGTAACCACCATGGTCCTAGTTAAATACCCAGCCAAGCACAGTGTTATGTATTCTACAGTAATTTGTAGTCAGTTTATCTCCCTTTTCCTTCTCTTTATAACATAAAACTTTCTTGCATGTACCTTGATATTTCTCCCTCCTAGAAGGACACCATTCATCTGTTCCAACGCCAACTGTGCTGCTTCAGGAAGATCATATTCAACGAAAGCAAATCCCTGTAGTGAAACAAAGAAAATTACTGTAAGACTCCATGTGGTGTACCATCACATAGTTTTAAAAATCGTACCTTATGTTTCATTGTCAAAGGATCCCATGACAAGTCAATTTTTTTAATGGGTCCAAAAGGGTGAAATGCTTGCTTGATATGCTCTTCCCGAAGCTCAAAATTTATACTACCAACATAAACTCTGAAAGCAAAAAAAGACATGAATCATATTATTAAGCATTAATTAGATTAATAATAATAATCAATAATAATAATCACCATCAGTGATTTATTAACACTTAATTATAACTAATAATGATTGATTGCTTCAATATGATAATTTATCAATATAAATGATATCTGATTAATAATTAATAGTAAATTTATTGAGGATTCAAGATACGTCTCTCACTGTGGGTATAAAGAATCCTTGTTGTATCCTTACCTACACATGAGAGCTAAGGCTCTTTGTTTTTGAGCTGCTGTTTGAAGTGCTGACATCTGTTGCTGCTGGATGGCTTGTTGTTTGGCAAGTACCTGTAAGACACAACAAAGAAAAGATGAATCAAAACAAAGATAATCCTTACAGCACTAATGATTACATCAATCATTAATCAAAAACACAATTTGTCATTCATCTCAATACCTGCTGAACCGACTGCTCCATTGCATATCTCTTTGCTTTCTTCAACAGTTCTTCTTGTGTATAGTGAAGGACAGGAAGGGCACGCTTTACTTCAGACTGCCTTGGGTTCATTCCTCCAGCTCCTGGACCCTGACAAAGCTCTCCTTTAGTCCCATCATCTACTGGTTGTTCTTCCTTAGCTACGCCATTACCTACAACGTAGAATAGCAGTATTAAAATGCATGAAAACAACTGAATAAGTCAGAGTACAAACACCAAAACTGTGAAGTATTTTGATGTTATTGCAGAACTCATGGAGAATATAATTTTAATTCACAAATAAATTTGTTAGACAATAAGACACTTCAAAATGGTTGGGCTTCAATAACAATATAATGCTGGATTTCAATTTAACAAAAAATTTCACACTGTCTCATGCTTATATCACCGACAAAGCTGCAGGTCTTTTGTTTATTAAATCTTCAGAGATTGATTGATAACCAGCAAAAGCAATTCATCAACTTGCAAACATTTATGTTGATGCTCATCATAGAGAAGCCAACACATGAAATAATACTAGAAATACTAAGATGTATTAATGTAAACTTCACAGTTTTTGTGCTTGTACTCCAAAAAGGTTAAACTTTATTGCAAACAAGCTAATATTTAACATAATGCATTGTTGTTTTGACTCTTCTTGAGTGAGCTTCCATATCTTCTTCAGAACTGTAGCAAACTATTATAAAGCACTGGAGTTTACCGCTAGAATAATGCAAGTGACGCACTCCATCGGCCATGGAACATTCATAGTCATGGCATTTACTTCAAGCTACAAAGTTTGTCCAGGTTCGCAGAGAAAAAGAGAAAAACAGAAAAAACAGGAAAGAAAACAAAATGTTATCGCTTAAATCAATATTGTTTAAATACATATCTAATTCAATTATTAAGGAATGGGGAGAATTTTACAGATGACTGAGTTTTTTTAAATTTGAAAGAAAATGGGATTGATATTGTTATAAAGTGACTTCATTATGTTATACGCTTCAAGACCATTGTTGAATTAACACTGCTAGGTTGATAATGCATACTAAAGTGTAGTTTAGGTGTAGAATTAGGATAAAAATTAGTCCTTTTGCAATCCCACCACTTATCCTTTGGTAGCATGTAATATAATTTCAACAATTTGACTATAGCTTATGTTCTGGGAAGATACATATTCAAAAATAAGCAATACAACACTCAACCAGAGTCAAATTAGGAAAACTAAATTACATGCTAACATTGCGAGGGGTTGCTCAACAAGGACTATAAATAATGCCTAGGACAATATTAATTTGCTATGAATTTATAAATAAAAAGAGATTTTGAAATAAGCTAATAATAATCATAAATTATTGCATTCTTCTACATGTAACACAGAAGGAAGGATGTCTCCAGTGGGTGATGGTCAACCTTGAATACTTCTACTGTAAAGACACTCAATCAAATAGACAGGTCTAGTCAGATTAACCAATTACATATAAAAACAGGTCATTACTATAACAATGTAACACGTGATATCATTGGTCAATATAACACATGTTATCATTGGTTGTTATACCAAATGCTCTCATTGGCCAATAAAACATATGCTATCTTTGGTCAATATAACACATGCAGGCTGTAGATTCCTATATTTAATGATCCTGAAAGCTCTATTGAGATTGCCATCTCAAGCTGTGCTGTTATTGCACTTTGGTAAAAAAAACATTGAAAAAACCTCAGTCTAATGTAGGAATATTAACCTACAGCCCTTACATGCACTTAATGCGATATTCCATGTCTTTTGCATTTTTTTTAAACACAAGAATGCAAATAATGGTAGTTTGGAAATTTTGTAACCGGTGGTTCATTAGATTATCAATCATATGAAATTGCAGTTTGAAAAACTGTTTATTCCATTGCAACAATCACTTACAAACAAGCTAATCAAATTGAATGTTACAAACATGCATACACATTTTCAACCTTTTTGAAAACTATAATCATTTTTCCACCTTTTTAATGGTAAATATTAAATTTCCCTTCTACCGTTATTTCCAATCTTAATGTAAAAATAGTGCTAAATATATTAATATCAATGAAAAAGAAGAATTACCCATGTCTGGTCCAATGTCAAATCCCCGTTTTCTTCGTCTTCTCTGCCCTCCTTCTGTTCCTTCTGTAATTGTTTCTGTATTTCCTTCTTCATTGTCCATCTTCCCCAGTGCAACCTGTAAATGTAAATTTGGCAATTACTATGAATTCACTCAGCTGGAAGCTAAAATAATATTTTTGCTATATGTATCACCAACCAGACACCTGTCTTTGCTTTCATTATCTATTTTTTTACTTCAAATGCCAAAAAAGATCATTGGTGCACCTTCAATACAAAACAAAAATAACTTGATTGTTATCTTAAGAAAGTACAGTAAGTTTACTAATATTTCAATACAAAAATAGGTCAAAATCTTATTAAAAATTGATGAAAATAGAGCCTTGATTTTGATTTTATGCCCATTTGAAAAACACATTTCTGGAAATAAAAAACAAATGGTAGACTGAGCATGTACTCTGGACAAGCTTTACATTTACTTTTGTAAATGATTACATAATTTAGACCAATTATAAACTAAATCTACGATTAATGACATGAACTCAAAGTTAAGCTATACAAGAAAGAGCTTAGATTATTCTTACTACAACAGTAGAAATGTACATTTGTGTTGACTGCAATATTTCCGCGAGTTCCCTCGTTTTCTATTTAGCAGAACATTGCTTGGCAACTTAAACATCAATATGATGTATTTGTTTCTCGCATCATAAGTTGGATGATCAAAGAAACATTTCTAGACGTTGCTATAAGCTTTCAATCTGAGCTGTACGTAGATGGCTTTTATAAAACACGTTTCGCATCATAAAAACGCCGAAAAAGTAACAAACAAGAGAGCTATAAATTGAGGAAAGCATTCATCCACATATCGTTAAAGAATTTATCGAGTTACCTCGCCGTTTACTGCTTCTTGGACGTGAGTTTCTGTCGTTTCCATATCTTCGGTCGCCATCTTGAAATTTTAGAGTAAAAACGCGTGGTAGCGAGTTCGCGCGAGGTGCCCTTTGAAACTAGATATAACATGTATTTTTATTGGATAAAATCTAAAATATACACCAATCAGATTTTTCCTACTGTTTGGACAGTTTCTTGTTTTAATACACCAGCGTTGATTGGTTTATAAATCACCAATCATAATTCATGATTTATTTGTCTTTCCAAATTTGCATTTCCGGGTGTCAGTCAGGCAGTCTACGCAAAAACTAAGATGGCTGCCAAGTACTTGGAAATAATTCTCCGTTTGCCCTTCCTTGTCGTCTTAGAATGGCTTTTGATTGACGAAACGATGGGCTATTTCGATTCATATAATTACTATAGATTTTTCCAAATACTAGGTAAGTAAAAACGATTCTATATTACTTGACTTGTAAAGAAAATATTAACAGTAAAAGATGCAATTTTAGATTTGTTATGTGCTGGTAGATGTCGAAGATAAGTGTGCCAATCAATCGTTTTACACGTTGTGATTTCATTTTTGAAACTTCTAGTGTTATTTTGTACTTGTCAGTGCTTTTTCTTTGGATCTGATGCTTGGTACTTGGTTAATGTATCAATCGCAAGTGTATAAGTTTTAATACTCTTAAGACCTTCAATAGAACTGATAAACATTGAGATCGATAAAATATTTTTAATAAATACTTAGACAACGAGATTACTCTCAGTCCACAAGCTCATAATTCAAACGTAATATATATTTAATGCAGAAAATTCTTATCAGGGCAGTTATTGGCTGCTGATAAGCTACATGTATCTATGGAAACTGACTGGTGATGATGATCATAACATTTACATCAGATGATTGTTGCTCACATTGCTTGAATCAAATAAATAATGCTGCTTTTCTTTCAAAATTGACCCTTCACAGGTATTGCCGTAAMAAGTGGTTTATTTCTTACAAGCCGTGACAGACTGTTCACATTTTATAACTATCTTATTCTATTCATGGACATGACAGTTATACTCTACCTGAACGTTTTAAATTCAGTAGAGTTTTACACAAGAGTGAAAGAAAAAGGATATAATGGACTACAATTACACGATGTTGTCCCACTTCTGCCAATAATCATTTGTGCATGGGTTTTTCATATTGTGTCAATATKCTCATATTCAATGGTRTTGAGATCCRTAAAGCCAATTGTGTTCTCGGTGGTCAGYGTTCCTGTTCTAGTCMSATTTCTTCATCCTCCAAGYTGGAAACAGTATCCATCCATGTTTTTATGTGTCTGTTTTGCAACTTCAGTCTTCTTAGCCATGGAGGCTATTTATAATTGGATGTGTCGGATCGTTTATGATGTCATCAACTCATGTCGAATTATGCAATGGATGTACCGCATGTATGGATTCACTATATTATTGGTATTTCACTGGCGTCGACTGGAAGTGCCTTCATGTCTTGTGATACTATTTTCAGGATTATTTGCTTATAACACTCTAGTRATTTGCATCTTTTCAAGCCAGCCTTTRGGACTGTACCAACTCTTTCATTTTTGCATTGCACAAACTTGCAATTCTGCATTAWCAATGCTYGCATGTTGCTTTGTCATTCAAAGAATATGTGGTCTAATGTTGCAAATTGTTCGGTTCTGTTTTTATGGAAACAATGCCATTCCAAMCGACGATAACGGCGCACATCCCAATGGCATGCGAGAGGGCTTTGGGTTCTTTTTCTTGTGTCTTTACACTGGTCTTTCAACTTGCTCACCAAGTAGAAAACTTGTTCTTCTTCAAGTGATATTTTATCTGATTGTATCAGCTGTCTTGAGATCGCTTTTTGAAGTTGTYGAACCTGTATTATTGGCGCTGCCATCCCAGCAATCCACYAGCTTCAAAAAACAYTTATCRACATTGGGCTTTTGTATAATATTACTTGGAATGTCTGTGTACCTTGCTGTGAGCGTTTATGGTCTAAAAGAAAGAATACCATTCATTACTCCAAATATCATCACAATTGCRCARATWYTAGCTGCTTTGGCATTGTATACATTATACAGATATGAAGCTCAGCARACTGAAATATGGGAAGAATTAGATGATTATGTGTACTACGTCAATGGCAGTTGCCGTCTGTTTGAATTTGTTGTGATTTCTGCAGTTTTATGCTACAGAGTTTGTGATTTCAGCCTTGAGTGGACGTTGTTTCAAACCGTTATGGCTTTGTTGCATATCTATTTTAATATTTGGACTCCAGCWAAGGAAGGATGGCAGAGCCTCAAACTACGGCAYCAAGTAAACCAAAAACTGAACTCTCTTCCTATGGCAACACAGGAAGAAATAGACATTCTTCAAGACGTTTGTGCTATATGTCTTGATGAGCTCAAGGCTGCTAAAGTGACTCCTTGCAAACATTACTTTCACAGCCTGTGTTTAAGAAAATGGCTTAATATTCAAAGCAAGTGCCCAATGTGTCATACTAGTATATAATTCCAATATAAATTTTCACTATAATTAAACAAGGAAAAACTTGAATTTAAGCACGTAAATCTTCTGTTTGGATAAAATTGCTCTGTAAGGGATTATTTTCGTTGAAAATTATATTAAAATGGTTGTCTGAAAAAAAGGTATATTCTAATTCTACTCAATAATGTTGGGCAGAACCTAAATGAATTATTTTGAAAACATAATGTGATTTTTTTGTTGAATATTATTAAATATTATGATAAATAGTTTGTGTTTTCTTTTTTGCTCCCGCGTAAGAAATATATTTGATTGTTGTGACTACATTTTACTGCAATTGCCTTATAGAATAACAACAGCACAGCATGTTACAATGGGATTACATGCTCAGAAGCAATCCAATTTATCTAGTTTTGATATACATATATATGATATCAAAGTTTTGATATACAGCTATTTTGGAAAACACTGAAAACTGTGATATTGCAGAGTTATAGCCTGATTTTAGACGAACTTGCGTCCGACGCTAACGTTTTGCGTTAAACCGCAGTGACTTGCGTTGTTATGAGAGCGGCCTGTGCATCACTTTTCCTCAAATTTGCGATGTTATTCGGATAGATTTTATCAACCCGAATGCATATAACGCAAGTATGTCCCATAATGCTTTTGGGCTTTAGCTGTCATTTTTCTGGAGTRACAACCTAATTAAAACTGTATGTACTCAAATACATCAACCATCCTGAGACCGAATGGGCAAGTGGGAAATTGCATAAATAGACTATGTTTAACAGAAAATGTCTCACTACCTAAATCGTCACATTAATAAAAGCACAAGTCAGTGTACTATAGATTTCTGCGTATTCTTGCCATTTAGAACCAATTACTAATTTGTAATATAACAAGAATATTTTTGCATGTGTAAGTCGACCACGTCTACACCGAGTCGGCTGATCCTGGAAAGAGTTCCTAAGTAACAAGACTTTTGTCACAAATATGCATATTAACGTATTGTGAAATCCTGGAACGTACTGCGTTATAGTCAGCCATGGTAAAAGTAGGTGTGCGGTTTTTACAGTCGCTTCTTTTCCTAGCTGTTTTCACGACTTTCCTGGCCAATTTATTGTTAATTCTTAAGTCAAATGGTCCATGTACAAAGGTCAATTCTGGATTTCCATGGCACAGCAGCGAACGTGTGGAATTGTTAGACAAGAAACAATTGGACGAAAGTCGAAAAGGTAAAGTGTATTGACAAATATAAAAGCTCTTTTTTCGCGGCAAAAACCGTTCTTCAGTCACAAGCCGCTTCGTTAACTTGGAAAGATTTTTAAAGTGTTTCAGTTGAGTGCTCCTAAAAAAATAAGCATCTTACGACTTTCACAAAGATAATGTAGATAAGATAGTGTAGTGTTAATAATATTAAACTTCAATGTCTACAGATAACGTGCATACACGACCACCCCCAAGTGATCGTGAAATCACAGCCACATCAAATGACAATGATGAGATTAAAATATTGCAAATTGAAGTCTTGTCAAGCAAGAGCAACATCTCAGTTACAGTGAACGGGAAAAAGGTATACAGTTTTCAACAAACTATAATTTTCTTAATTACTAGCAAATTAAATTAAAAATACACACACTCTCCATAAAGATTTCAGGGGCTTTATGTTCTTGGAGGAATGGGAATCTGGTAGAATGGAGAAGCAGGGTTAAACTGAGTAAATGTCTTTTTGACAAGATTTACTTCGAAATGAGGAAATTTTGCATATGGCAGACTTTGTCAACACTTTTGTTATTCTTCTACCATGGTTATTTCAAAACTCACTAAAGTCATCTTTTTTCCTATGAATAATCAAATCGAGAACCAGCATCACATGCACTTATATCCCTAAAGGAAGCTGTGGGACTGCTGATTTTCCCGAGGAAAACAATCAAAACGTGTAGTATATCGATTTGAAGGATTATTTTTTCCTCGATCTAAAATAATTCCATGTTTTAACAACAGCTATTATATGGAAATCATCCGAATTTAGTTGGAATCAACGTCGTTGTTGTCAACCAAGAAACTGGAGAGAGAATGGGAACTAGGGCCTTTGATACGTACGACCTTGAGCAAGAAGCTCAGCTTTTGCAAGAATTTGTCGAAGATGTTACAGTTGGGAGAATCATTTGCTTTACTGTTAGGGTAGGTACGCAAACTACTTTTATTAGTGCACTACATATAAGCGTGATCCTCCAGTCTGAGCATTGGCAAGCTCCCTTGATTTCCTTGAAAGATCATCATGACTTCATCCATTCATCCATTCATCCATTCATCCATTCATCCATTCATCCATTCACGGAGATCATTTTTACATTCACTTGACAACGTATGTTTAATTTGCGCTGTTGCAGGATGAGGCTTCAGACCATCTCAAGAAAAGCGTGCGCGCCTTTCTCAAACACTTTGGAAGTGTTTTCATCAACCGTCTAAAATGGAGAGACATGTGGGCTTTTGTAATACAGAAAACCAAATATAGCGCTCGTGTCATTGGAGAAGCACATCAGAGATGCATGACTAAAGATGGACAAGGGTGCCAATCTGGCTATGGCGAAGCGTGGGCACCTCCTGTCAGCCTTGTGGTCACTTTTCGGGCAGAGAGGAGCCAGGATGCATGTGAATGGGAGGATACCCCCAGTAATAGACGCAGAAGAAAGTTTTGTAGACGATATGAAGGATATCCTGGAGTTTGTAGCTGTAAGTAGACAACTTTCGCTTGTATATGATGACATGATTCATATTGTATACTGACTGTTGTCATAAGAACTATTACCTTTATTCCTG